AAGGTGATCATATTGCTTCATAAGCTCACTTGACATGGAAGCCAACATGATGCACCATGCATGTCGGTCATCCTCAAACTATTTGAGTGTGCTTCCCGTTGTGCAACATGTGTATTTTTGGGTAAAAGATCGAGGGGATGTTTCAATCAAAACATAAGTCTGTCCCTCATAATCCAAAACAATTTTCAAATTTTTTATCCAATCAGCATAATTTGAGCCAGTTAATTTGTTACTTTCAACAATGGTGGTAAGAGGATTTTTAGCCATTTGCAAAAATATAAAATCTACAAAAATAAATAAGCATGGTAGAGTATCAGCATTCATTCATGATATGCAAATAGATATGAAATGGTTTTTATTCGAATATATTTCCCACTACTTTATCAAATTTTATTACCCTTAAATAAAAATTCGAGAAATCATATTTCCTAGTGGGACTCGAAGTCCTATTAACCTTACTTATGCTCCAACCATATGAGCCCATAAATAAATCAACAGGTAGACAACATCTTTGTCAATTGCACTCATATGCAATCCTTGAGTTATTTGCCTCATATTTCACATAGACCCCAACCATATGAACCCCTATGTTACTTTACGTTAAGTTAGACCCATCAATCAATCATGTAAGTGATTCGATTATAATCATCCCACGACTCGTGTGCCAATGCCATAACTAAGTCACTTCCATGTGCATCATATGCTAAAATAGTATATATAGCTTTTCTCGCAAAACGTACCCCACGACTCGTGGGACAGCACATTAAACTTGGTAGTAGCACACTTACCACTTTATTGATGGAAGGTATGGATGATTAAACCGCGTTTAATATTGCCATAAAACTTAATATTATACTTAGTCAAACTAAGTGAGGTTTTATAGTTGACCAAGATCCCATTAATTTTACTTTTTTTATTAAGTTATCTATATGTATGCAATTATCAAAATAAAAGCAAGTATATCACAAAAATAAGAAAAACAATGGTATAATTGTGGATATCCTATGGAATTAAAATAAAACCTAAACTAATCCTCCATTAGCCTTCATTAGTATCCAGTGGACCTGTGGTTTAGATTCTCCATAATGCACCAATTTCGCTTGTCTCCGCCCTTTTAAATAATTGTTACAATTAACAATAGTAGAAATCTCAAGATAAATCCGAGGGGATGTACATGAGAGAGAGATAGAAATATACACAAGAATAAGAGATAAGGCAAGACTCGCAGGCCTTATTTTAAAACCAACTAATCCACAACTAATCATGTGAACCATCCAATAAAAATATAAACATCAAATGTAAAATAATAAATTTATTGGATATATTTTTATTTATTTATTTATTTATGTTTAATATTTTCTACACTTTAGAAAATTCTTTTTTTGTCAAAATTGGTGTCTTTGAGTTCGAAACAAAGAAAACCCACAAAAACGCAAATTTTAAAATTTTTCATCAAAATTGACCAGACCAAACTGGACCGAACCAGTCCAGTCCAATTGGACCGCTGATTCATCATCTTCTTCAACCTTTTCCTTATTTTTATTCGAAGAGAAAAAGAGAAAAAGATTGAAAAAATATATACACATATATTTATACTATTGCAAATTTATTAAAAAAATATAAAAAAAATCTATAACTACGACGCGTCACCGGCATTAATTTGGCCAGCCAGACGCCTATTGTATCTTTTGTTCCAAGTGGCCATGGCAGCCGCTTCCAGTAAGCTTTATCCTTTATTAATTAATTAATTTGTTTACCAAGGAAAAAGGCAACAAGTTAAAGGTTTTCAACATGGCTGCTATTGCAAATTTATTAAAAAAATATATAAAAAAATCTATAACTGCGATGCATCACCGTCCTTAATCTGGCCAGCCAGACGCTTGTTGTATCTTTTGTTCCAAGTGGCCATGGCAGCCGCTTCCAGTAAGCTTTATCTTTATTAATTAATTAATTTGTTTACCAAGGGAAAAGGCAACAAGTTAAAGGTTTTCAATGTGGCTGAAAACGTTTCAGAGGCATTAATTGTCCCCCTTTTTTTCCTTTTTTTTTTAAAAAAATAAATCTGCATGGGAGCTGAATGGCTCTTTGCTTGCACGCACTTCAATCAAAAAAACAGCCTCTATAAGAAAGGCTCCGAACCCTTTTTTTTATTTTGAAATAATTTTAATAATAAAATAAATAAAATCTTTTAAATTTCAATAAACTTAAACTATTAATTAATTTTGACAAAATTAATTTTGCATAAAGGGTTTTAAAGTTTCAAAAAACCTCAATCACTCAAATTACTCTTTGACACCAAAATTTTAAATTGATCTATCTATATGAATCAAAACATTTCTCATATTCAAAATTGCATAAATAAGCTCGATACCACTGTTGGGTTTTACATCAAAATAGAGAATTTTAAGGTAGTAAAAATTTAAAATTTTTATCTTTTATTGTGTGATCGAATTACGTTGAATCTCTAATTCTATGTCCCAAGATACAATATGCATAAATTTAATATGAGAAAATTGATTTATACGTCACAAGCTTCCGACTAATGTGGGGATTGAGCAAATTCAAGTTCGCACGTCAGCAAACGAGTATGTAAGTTGGTATGGTTCACAAGAAGTTCAAATGCACTTCCTCTAATGGTATCCACACAGGGAACGTCCACTAGTACTTAGGATTATGTTAGTAATCCACAAGTACTTTTCTCAACTTATGAGCTTTTCTATCAAGGTAACTTCTTGATCTAAGGATTGTAAAGAACCTTTCCCTCTCAACTTTTTTAAAGTCTCTCTTTTGATAAAGGTCTCCTAGACCTATATTTATAGAGAAATAATTTTGTATTTATCTTATCTTAAATTAGGAGATAATATCTATATTATTTAATTTAAAATCAAATAACATTTATGTAGATAATTCATATTAATTATTTCAATAATCTTCCAACTAATTAAGAGATTTTTTATGATAAGATTAAATAATTAATTAATTAAACTATTTAATTAATACAATTATTTTACTCTCCTTTATCTATTAATTAAATGACAAATCATTTAATTAATTAGTTTTTAATTAATTAATTTAAATAAATTTCCATAAATGATATGGATTTATTCGCTCTTGTGTGTGACCTCTTAGGTTCACCAATTAGCTAGTAGTGGGCCCACAACAAATTATGATTTAATATATAAATAATTAATTATAATTAATTACTCCGGTTAATGAAACGTCTTTTAATTAACCACTCTTGAACTAGTTTAAATTAAAACAAGAGTACCCATACTTTACGGGATATATTTAGCAACAAACCCGTAAAGACCTAGAAATAGGTGAAGGTAAAACCGTAAACCTTTTTCTGTTTGCGCGTACCATGCAAATACAATCCTTCCATTAAACAATCTCCCATTCGAGATACAGAATTTGGATAATATGTCAGTATCCCAATAATCTCAATAACAATACATCTATTTCAGACAGTTGTTCAATGACCAGTCTAGAAAACTCATTTCCTAATTGTTTGTCATATGCCTTGCGCAAGAACTTTCAGAACAACTATCTGTAGATAGTATAAAAGATTCACCTATTCTGCTAGATAGGTAATGGATCGTATGTTGTCCTCGTAGACCTCTATATATGAATGGTTTATGCCCAACATAAAACCTCTTATGTGATCAACTTGTGATCGGGGAAAAACATTAAAGCACAAGTAGCCATATACAAGATCACAACAGAATCTCAAGTCAAAGAATTACTTAATGCACTATCACAAACATAGAGAATTCTAATTTTCGACAAGCATCCAATAGAGAATTCTTTAAGTGGGATTGTTCAATAAACTTGTTCTTTAACAAGCACCCACGTGTATACATTAGTGTCACTTACACTGATCGCCTATGAAATGAGATACCCTCCTTACGAGTATACTATACACATACAAGTCTAATCTGAATCTAGTCAACACCCCATCTTAACTTATCCTACAACTTAGAACATTTAAGACTAAAACCATAGAGACTTATTTCATTATCACCATCCATATGCGTGACCAAGTCCCATAGTTATATAGTTTAAGAGTTTCAACCAAATGTAAAATTTACACATTCGATGAAAATGGCCAATGAAATAATTACATATATATTGAATGAAAAATGATCAAGAGTATTTAATTACACCAATCAAATTGGCTAGCTGGGCACTATTCTATTAAGATGAAATCACGTAAATCTCGACAATTTGATCGTATTGTGTGATTAGGGTTTGCCAAAAAGAAAGGGGATGAACATGGGATCCCAATTTTAGGATTCTGCAATTCAGTCCTTGCTTCCCTACTTCTTCTCATTTTGGTCTTAATATTTTTTGATTATTCTCATCTAAGCCCTGAAACCTTTAAATTCATTTGATTGTGTTGCTCTTTTTTTATTGGGTCCCTAAACTTTTTGTTTCTTTCAATTTAGTCCTCTCACATTTTAATTTTCTCAATTGACCCCTAAATTGGATCATTACGTGGCATTTGGCATGAAAATATAATGTTGTATATTTATATAAATTAGACAATAATTAATATTTATGGCTAGATCTGGTGTCAAAAACTAATTTGCTTGAAAATCATAACTCTAAATTTAAAAATTCAAACCATGTTCATTCAATTTGTTATAAACCAACCACGCCAACCCCATTAATTAAATTAAGCCGTTTGATTTCCTTTAAAAGGAATATACACACCTGTTATTGCTCAATTTAGCACTTAACGTACTCTTTGTATACAAGCAGTTCTACAACGAAAGAGAGAGCTTAACAAATACTCATCACAAACTGGAGATAATCTCACTAAGTCCATATCACCTTAAGCAACCAAAAAATAAAAATACATCACGCTTAACCAATCAGATAATCGACATCACCTATCTCAGGGCTTTTATTATGGATGCCTGGCAAGAAACTATACAGATTCTTAATTTTTCTATTGGCCTTCAGCGAATCAAACCGTGGAAAAATTCCCAAATGGCTAGCTAGTGATGATAAGGGGATGTCGACTGAATTCGGTTCTGTCGCTTCTGCAGGAAGCGTTGTAGAGATCTCTTCATGGAAAGACCGCTGTTAGGGCTACACAATGGAGATTGTATCAATGGCGAAGAGGGCTCCGATCCCATGGGGCTCTTCACTCTTTCTTCCATTTCTTTACTTGCAAGCAGTATTATGGCTCTAGCCTGCAACCATGATCAAGACATTAATTGGCAGATTAAAGTTTGCTTGATTAAAGCAAGTTTGTAAACTGTGCATCCGCAATCTCAAGTCAACTAGGAATCACAAACTATCTGATCTCCCCATATACTTGTGATTTCCAAGATGACACATAAGGGTTCAAGTTGGTGATTATTCATACGTCTAGGAGAAGCGCTATCCTTCCAAATTATTTAAAATTTCTTTAATTATTTATAGAGTTCAGAGGAGGGACAATTAATCTAAATTTTCACAGGCATGAAGTATGGCAAAAATCTTTTAATTCTACTTCAATTATGTCAATAAATAATAAATTGGATCTAGAAAAGTTGTCAAATTAATTAAGAGCCCAGATTTCTTTTTACGCTGGGCTTAACTGTACGGGTGCCTCGCATCTCACATGAGTAAATGAAACCTACTCATATTCAATGTATAGACCTCACCTCGTTTGTACAAGAGATGAGAGTACATAGAGGAGTTTTTTTAAATTATTGGTATTGATATATATAATCTAATTTAATAACTCAAAAATCTACTCATGACAATCCAAAAATATGTGATAATTTTAAGGCCAATATCAAGTAGAGGAAAAAGGCAAATTGCAGAAGTGCTTCTTAAATCTATGAAAACTCCATGAAAGTGCCTCGCTCAAACCAAGCACAGGCAGCGCTAATTTTATTCCAGAACTATTCAATAAATTGAATCAAATTAATTAGACTGTATAAATCGAATCAACCGTATAAAATTGAATCAAACTGTACAATGTGGTTTGATTTGAATTTGATATTTAGATAAACTGTATAAACCAAATAAACCGTATAGCTTATATATATACAAAATTAAAAATTCTATCTTTATACATATAGTATATTTTTATTATTTAATTATATATTCTTTTTTATATTATCTTTTATATTTATATTCATTCTAATAATAATTAATTATTTTTCTTTTTTAAATATAATTTCTATAAATAATAGTAAAATTTTGTAAAATTGTATAAATATATTTATTATAAAATGTATAACTATTATATTTAATTAATAAATAATTAATTTGTTAAGTTGAATATGTTAAAAAAAATAAATGACAAATTTTTAAAAAAATTTTGTTAAAATTTTTATAAAAATAATAAATTTAATTTATTTTATTTTATAAATCAAAAATAGTAATTTAAAACTAAATCAAACTATAATTATAATTTAATTTAATTTATAAAAGTTATAAATTATAAAATATAATATAATTGAAATTTAAACGTCAAACCCAACGGCGCTATTTCATTCTATGAATCCGTGTGGTTTTTGCGTTCGCCACGCGTGCCTAGTACCTTCTATCCAATGGATGGTTTTGTCGAAAAGCTACAACAGCAGGTAGCATATCTCAGTAATAGCCGGCATCAAAGACCAATAAAACCACGCAAAGATCGATAAAGCAACCATATGGTGCATGAACCATCCGTCCAACGCCAGATCTTGTACGTACCTGGAGCTCTGTGACGTCGCATACACTGATATTTCCGTTGTAGAAAATGGTAAGCTGTTGCTGCTGCTGTTCATCTCTCTCCTTCGGACTCCCTCTTCGCAAATCCAACCTTCCAAACCAAGTATAAATAAATAAATTAGAAAGAAACATATCAGTATAAGTAATTTATATTAAAATTTATATACCTTCATATATGTGTATATATCTGTTTGCATAGGTGAGTCAGAGAGAGAAGATGGGCAACTTACATGGGCCGCAGGCGGGGTTGGTCGTCCTCGAAGTCCGCCGGTTGGAGGGCGGCGGAAGGCGGGACAAGGCGAAGTTCCAAGTTGCAGTTTCTTCTCATTTTTCAGATACCAAACACGCCCTTAAAACAAAGGACAGAACAATTAATGAAAGACAAAGCTAAGAACCTTGGACTTGTATATATAGCTTTTACAACGGTTGTTGAGTATATATGTAGAGATGCGTATATTTGTTGGTGTATAAATATAAGGTGAAGGAAGTGGGCCAATGTCTGAGGGAAGAAACATTTAACACGAAAAAAACACAGAGAGAGAGAGAGAGAGAGAGAGAGAGAGAGAGGGGATCAATGGGAAGGGAAATGAAGGGGAACGGGCAACGAAGCGAACATGGAGTATATTAAAGCACGTGAAGCACGATTTTTCCGCGTTTATTATTTCTGCCTTCCCTTCTCCCACCGAACAGCACCAAAACCGCCAAACCAAAACCAAAACTAAAACCAAAGCCTGTAACCCCACCAAAAAAAAAAAAAAAAAGCCAAAACCGCCAACCTTTTTACAGCTTCCTCCTTGCTTCCTAGAGTGCTTTTCCACGCTCGTGCGCTCCACGTGCCTCAGGGAGCGGTGTTTTTTTCTCTTTCCTTGCCATTTTCCTGCTTGTGGATCAAATTAATTTTGTATTTCTCTCGTACGTGTAGAAGTGAGATTATCAACGACTTGTGCAGTGAAATATCATATTCCTTGTCCAATCAATGGCAAGAAAAAATGTGTGATATAAATTTTGAATTGGATTCGAAATTTTATAAATTTTAAATTTAAATCTTATTTTAGTATTTAGCATAAAAAAATAAAATTTGATATTTATAAATTTTATTTTACGTTAAAAAAATAAAATTTGAAATTAAAAATAAAATTTTAGTATTATATTCTTTACAACAATTGATTTAGTAAGAAATTCATTTAATAGATAATAATTCTAATCTCTTGTAAATATGATTATTAACGAGAAATAACAATTATAAGTTGAAGGCAATAGATTAAATAAAAATGTTTAATTTCAAAGCAAACGGATTGGTGATGAATGAAATAGAAAGAAAATCTAAATAAAGTAAAAAAAATTATAAATCTAAATCAATTAAAGAAAAAAGATTAAATATATAATTTTTTATTTAAACAGTAAAAATGAAATTTTAAAATTTAAATTTCATCAAATCTCATCGGATTTTAAGTTATCAAATACAAGGTTAACATTAAGATTTGTAGGTTTAAATTCTGTTTGGATTTTGATTTCGATGGATATATAAAAGAAAAATAAAACTGAAATATATTTTTATTTTTCATAAACTTGATTTTGTTAATTACACAAATTAATCTCACATAATTTTGTTTACAATCCCTTACTGTTTTTATTTTTATTTTTTTTTCTTGTTCTTGTCCGCTGAATTTTAACTGGGATTTTAGTGATCTTACTAAAATGGTACCCAAATATTTCCCGTGAGAAATTAAATGAGGTTCTTTGAAAAATTAATTGGCTACTTGAAAAAAGAGACAGAGAAACTAATAATGGAAACAATTTGCAAATCAAGGAAAAGAAAGTGGACACTATAGAAACGTTAACATGTGGGTTACTAATGCGGTGATCGGCCCTTCCCACACATTTCCACGCACATGTTACTGGGAATTGAAAATTTTAGCTAAAGCTATAAAAGAGATAACAAATAGACTTAAAAATAAACCTAATTCAGTATAACTAATATCACATTAGTCTATTTATTAATATGCTTATTTTAAGGGTTAGTTTGGATAAAAAAGTACTTTTTGGTTAAAAAAGTATTAATGGTAAAAAAAAGACTATTTATGTAAAATTAATAAGAAAAAATTAGAAGTATTAAAAAAGTAGTTTTTTACTTTTCCTAATAAGCTAGTGAGATTAGTTTCTTAAACTCTTTCCTACAGTAGAAGAAAAAAAAAAGTGGACAAAACTGGAAAAATATTATTGGATAACAATATTCCTCACATAAAAAAACACACATAATTAGTCTTTTATGATAATTTTATAAAAAACAGTTTTATAATTTTATATATCCAAACAGTTTAAAAAGTAGTAAAATACTTCTACTTCTAAAAAAATATTTTCAAAAAAATCACTTTTAAGAAATCACTTTTGGAAAGCTTATCCAAACTGAGCTGTCTTTGATTTTTAATGATAAGATCTAATAATGTTTACCATAATCTTATTTCCAATAAAAAATATCTTTTAACAATATTTATTAACACATTTAACTATCCTCTGATTTTACAATTATGAGAAATTAATAATGTGGTTCCAGTTTCTGTACTCTGAGAAAAATATCTTGTGAAGTATCAAAATAAAAATGGAAAATCAAGAAGGAGAAAAGTGCTTGAATTCATCTTTCCGAAGAATCCAAAGCCATTAATTACTCGTGGAGTCCAAAGGCATCTGAACCGGATTAAATTAAATGCAGTTAATTGATAGTCTTCAGTTGGATCAAATTTAACTAAATAACAAAGGAACAAGGCCCTCCGTTTTAACCCTTTATTCAGAATGTACCAAGATTTGATCTGGATTATTTAATTTGTATTTTTTAAAAAAACATAATCATCACCTGTCGACGTTCAGATCTCATCGGCACCATTAAGATATGTATAGAAACTAACCAGCAGGATGACGTAGATAAATCAAACAGATTTATATATGCATTTCGTTTTTGACTTCTAATTAAGCAGTAGTTTTAATATTGAAAAGGATAGAAGGAAGTGCGATAAATGCATAGAAATTTCCTACTTTCGAGAGGAAAAAAGGAGAAACTGGGTTTCATTTCATGTGGACAATTGATTAGTGTTTTATGGCTTTGAAAGGAACGACACTGCAGCATGCTTCACATGCAGAATAAGGAGCGCATAACCAGTCAATAATAAAATAATATTCAAAAGATAAAGTGCAGGAGAAGAAAGCGAGATTTGTGGTTCTGGAAATAGAGATTAACGGATCCATTGAGTCAATCGAATATGGATCAGGGAAAATTTAATGTAAGTGCCAAGGAATAGCCAGGTAAAGTTTTATGCCACGTGTAATAGTAATGATGGTTCGCGACTTTTTAGGTTTCTGCTTTTTTTGTTGTCTAAAAACATTATTATGACATTTTAATTTTTTTAAAACTTAACCATTTTAGTTTGATTATTCAAAAAATTTATATACAAATACAATAAAAAAATAAGACACTAATATTCGAGGTCATTCCTATCCTTACAAGATTAGAAAGTAGAAAATAATTTAAAAAAAAGGAAAATATCTAAAATTTAAAATGAATTTATAAAATCACATTGATATTCATAAAAACGTGAAAACCAAAAATCAAAAAAGAAAAAGTTTTTAGAACTAACTAAACAGGACCTTAATTTGATGATGAATTTATAAATTATAATGTATTTTGTAAACTTGAATTGAGAGAGAGAGAGAGAGAGAGAGAGAGAGAGAGGATAGCTGCCTTGACTAAGTGATTCTCTTTTGTTTACCGGTTATCACGAGTATGAATGCCCACAAATTATAGTATAAAACTAGAACTATATTACATAATTACTTGTGCAACTGAGCTCAGAATGTTTGCCTTCTTTCTTTTCTTTCTAATGTAACGACACATCTACTCTACACGTGCTCAAGCTCCAGTTTGTCCTATTATTCTGAACAAATAAATTAACCAAATGAATAAATTAATTTGATACATATAAAATCAAGTTGAAAATTATATTTTCACAAGTTAAAGGACAAATAATAAAAAATATTTTCTACAGATGACCCGTATAATATTCAGTTTGTTTTTGCTTCATTAGGCCATTTCTAATAAGAAAGCGACACTAGCGGTGCCAAAGCGTGTCATTGAAGTTTGTTGATGAAGATATAAAAATACCCATGACTGATACGTTGCTGAGTTAACAAAATTCAATTCTTTGACTCACTGGGTCATAATATTCGGGCTTGATTTGATAAAATATTTAAAAGCTCTAGCATGATGATATTTTTAAGAGAGAGATGTAGAACGCGGATGAGGAGGAATCGGGTTTCATATGATCATTTAAGAAAAGTAGAGAGAGAGAGGTGACGGCGGTGGACCACGAACCAGAAAAAGGGATGCATGATACAGGTGCGTGGGTTGTCTCTCAGCTTGCTTAATTAGACACCATGAATTGGTAGCCTTATTTCTCGGACCATCTCCCACAAAACAAAAAAAACAAAAAAAGGAGAAGTAGAAATCTCCAGCATTAGGAGAGGGATAGACCTAACTTTTTGGGCTTTTTGTTTGCCAATCATGCCTTTAGAGATTTTTGGTTGGGGCTAAAAGTTTTAAAATTTTTTTATGAATATCAGTTATTGATTAGAGACTCTGTGGACAAAAAGATAATTTGGTGTTTTCACAATAACGTGTTTGATTTGTTTTAATTATATTAAGGATAATTACAACAATTTATTTTAAAAAATAACAGTTTACACATGATGCCAAACAGGTTCCGAACTGTCGGGCCAACCTAATAATTTGGGATGCCACAAGAGTTGTTGCATTTCAGAGATGATGGGAAAAAAAAATTTTAAAGTAATCAATGTTAGGCAAGAGAAAGTGGGACACATGATAAAATTATAAAAAGATCGGGATAAAACACACTTTTTCCTCTCTAAATTTAATTAAAAGATACTAAACCTTTTTCTTAAAAAAAAAATGTTTTTTATTTAACTAATTATTAACTAATAATTATTTAACGATTTTATTTTAAAAAAAGTGAGAGTAATCCAATTTCGTGTAATTTGATTACTTATCTAATTAAAAATTAAAATATTATTTAATTTATTTAAAAAATATTTTTTAAATTTATTATTTTATTTAAAAATAAAAAATCACATTTTTAATTATTTAATTTCATTATTTTTTTAATTTTTAAATAATTTTTATTTTATTTTTTAAATTACATTTAGTCCTTTTTAACTTAAATGACACTCAAATATTTTTATTTCAACATTTAAATAAAATTAAAAAATAAAAAATTTATTTAAAAATTAAAAATAATAAAATTAAATTATTAAAAGTTAGAT